CCTGTTCTTTTCACAAGCTCTATTGCTTTTCTCAGACCTAATCCATGCTGGGATGGTCTGACTATCCATGACCTAGCTTTTTGATTTGGGGGAAAGCAAACTTAAATGTAGCCTGTGCTTTGGAAGAGCCTTGAGCTGATTCTACATGTGCCTCCTGTAGTCTTAGAAAAAGCTGGTATTCTACAGTAAAGTGACTGAATTTGATAGGGCACAGTATATCTGACTTTACAGCTTGTAGTAAGTCCTGGAGGATATTAACGAAATGATGCTGTTATCACACAGTAGTCTTCATGTTACTTTCTTCTGAGAGAAAAAAAAATTAAAAAGCTTAGAACAACATTTTTTGAATTGATGGTGCTACTTCAGTTGTTAAGTCAGTGTGTGCTATAAGTGCCAAAATTCACAGTGACATAAGATTTTCCGACATAAGCATCCTCCCTATTACATCTAATTTGCTGCAGCCAAAGTTTAAAAATAACAGAGAAACTTTACTACTTTTTGGTTCCAATGTGGAAAATCTAAAAGGTCGGTAGAAGTTGGTAGTCCTACTCTTCTGAAAGTAACTGAATGCACTAGGAAGTTTTCATACGTAGGCAGTAAGATGTCTCTTCACTGTATTTCAGACTGTCATACGAACATGGATTATGTATTCACAAACCAGCAACCAAAAGCTCTCTGTACCTTGTTAACATCCTCTCAGCAATAAAATTTTGAAAAATTTGGGAATTATGTTTTTGCTAAAATCTGCACCCTTTAATAGGGATTCCTCAAAGAAAGCAGGTAGGATGGATCCCAAAGAATATGGATAAAATAAGTGTTATTCAAACAAAGGAGCTTGAAATGCAGTTGTAGACAGCGTGGTTGTAAGCAAATGACTGATTGCTTTGGGTCAGTATTTCCACCATAAATTTGATGCCAGTAATTTATGCTTTGGCAGTGAGAAGCTGCTCAGGCTGAAAATTGGCATGAAAGAACTAAGTTTAAGGAGTGATAATAAATAGATTTATTCAACGGGAGCTATAAAACTTGCACGTAATTTTCAGGAGGTGGTTTGACAGAAAGCTCAGTACAGCATAGAAGAGCTGTATCCAGGTTTTACACTTTCTTTCTCTTTCAACCTGTTGAAAGTGTGTCTGTTGTAATCCAAGGCAAACCATGGAAAAGGTAAGCCAAACGGGGCTCCTGCTGTGCCACTTTTGGATGCACAGTTGGGAAGCAGTCCAGGATTCTCCCTGGTAATGCTGCAGTGTCACGTGTAGTCTGAAACCTCAATACTAATGGCATTGTCACTCATCAAAGTAGAGGGGAAGCTGCATGGAATGGACTTATTCCTGAGTTCCGATGTCTTGTTTGCTGAATTTCCACTCTAACTACTCTCCATATAGATAGGTAACTGGTTATATTCTTTCCAAAATCAGGCAATTTGCTCTTCGCAGATAAAATTGTTTAAAAAATACTTGAGAACAGCAAGTACAAAAGTAACTGCAGCTGGTTGCATCTTCACATGTGGTGACAGGTGCATGAGTTTTGTGTAAAATTCACACACTTGGGTGGCTTCGTAGTTGTGCTAAGAAGCTGTTGTACTTGATTTTTGAATTAAATTTGCCTTTTTTCAGATGACTTTTTTTTGTATGGCCAACTGCAGGTTCATGCTTGGCTCTAAGTCATATGTGCTCATCTTTAAATAAGATGATTATGATAAACTTACAATACTGTAATAAATAATAAAGAATTTTCCCAAAATTCACTGGGCTGTGACCATGTCAGGATTTCCCTTTATGTGCTTATAAACTTAAACCAGGTCCAAGCCAGAGCTAATAGAAAACTGTGTATGCATAAACTATTTTATTGGACCTTTTTAATATCTGACAAATATTAGTGAAGCTCACTGTGGAAGGCCAGAGTTGAGTAAGGTTTCTGCAGACTCCAGCAAGTACATAGGGGAATGGCAGAGCTGGAACTAGAACCTGGGCTTTCTTGACTTCTACACTGTGATTTAAGTCTCTAGAAGACAGTTGTTATATCTGGTGCATGTGGCACTGATGTGATGTTTAAATGAGGTCTACCAGAGCAAACAGAGGTTGTACTTGATGGCCTGGAGGTAAATCTTGTCCTAGTCAGCTGGTTTCATGTAGATGTCTTAGCAGGACTGATTCTTACAGGAAACTGAGTATAGGGAATGTAGGAGCGTTCTGGATCAATGTATGTGACGCAGAGCAGGTTGTTTGCTTTAGCACTTAACCAATATCAATGTGGGCTGAACTTATGGGTGCCCCAGAGTATGTTTTTGGTCACTGTCCCATTCATATCTGAACTTCTGATTTCTAGGTAGCAGACGCAAAGGGTGTTGTAATTTGTGTTTAGTTTGTTGTCTAAATGTCTTGCTATGGATAGACCTTACAAAAGAAGAGATGTCTCTGTGAAACAGAGGAAGAGATGTGAAGCTTGGCTCTGCTAGCAAGTAACTGCAGACCAGAAGGGGAAACATGAGGAGGCAGAGAAAGGAAGCACAGCTTTTTAATGGGAGTTTTTTTTTTTTTTTTAAACACTAATAAATTATGCCATAGATGAAAGAACCTTGCAGCTGTCAGGTCATTTGTAATTTGAAGCCCTGGAAATGTTTAAACAGAATGATTTTTCATAATCACGTTCTTGAGATAATTGATGTAATTCTGCTACTTAATTTACCAACTGAAGCTTTATTAAAGTTTTTTACGTGTTCTAGAGAAACAAGCAGAATATTGCTTGGAAAATGTGTGATAGGATGCCTTTCTTGTAAATCTTTGGAAAGCTCACTTGCTTCCATTTCTCACCTTTATTTATTTATTGTCTGTGTTAATTATGTCCATGGTTACTCTTTCTTTTCTCTGGCTAGTATGCTAATGTTCTTCTGAGATCTTTTGCTAAAGATCCTTTCTTTCTGCTAGTTAACATCTGCAGCACTTATGTAGGTGTCAGCCAGGATTTTTCAGTGCTCAGATCCTTCTAAGTTGCAACAAATTTGTAATGGCTGTTAGCTTAGAGTATTTCAGTTTTGTACGTGTGACATCCAGAATCTGGAAAATTGGAGCAGTATAGTATGCCGGTGCCATGATCCCACTCAGTTTCCTTCAACCCAGTCTGGTCAAAATATTATATATTCACTGTGCAACTGGTTGACAGCAACATTGCACTGCTCTAACTTCTGAAAAGTCTTTGCTTTTTTTCTGGGTCACTTTGTGGTACATATATAACTTTTTTGCATGTAAATTTAATTGTTTTCCAAAGTGTTGAGTAACTAGCAACTTCACTAACTTGTGCATTTCTCAGCCTGTTCCTCTAGAAATTCTGATGAGTTTAGCCCATAATATAAATTTTAGCATAAAAATGGTTGCTAACATGAATGCTTGCAAAAAAATTGTATTTTACCTTTAACCTTAAATGAATTTACAGCTCCGTATTTCCTGGAAAGAAGGGAACTTACTGCAGCCTGATAGAGACTGATCAGAGCTACATTTACATTTGCAAGTAGTAGGACCCCAAACCAAGCTAAAATTTCTGGGGTAGTGCAGACATTAAGAGAACCTCTAGAGAGGGGACTGTAGAGCCCCTTCCTATATATTTACTGTATATACTTACTGAAATTATCTTAGCTAGTGGGGAAGTGCTTCTCTTTCTAATGCTGGAAGCCTCCGTCATGCAAGGACTCATGGCCGTGCTCTGCTACATTTGCGAATCTTCAGAGGATTAGAGCTTAGCTGTTCTTTTTACTTTCCACTTCCACTTTTTTTCTTTTTCCTTTCAGCAGACAGTGGTTTCTTTCTGGGTGACCTGGCAACATTAGAGAGCTGGCGTATTTGAGTAAAACACATGCCCAGTAATGTGATGGGCTTAAAAAGACCTATGGTTCCACGTTGGAAACTCTTTTTTTTCTTATTTTTTTGGTCATAATATATACACTTCTGTGCTTTCTCAAATCACAGTGACAGACTGGTGTTTTCTTATTACTTCTAGAATGGTTGCTTGGGAAAAGCACCACTGCTGTGCTGGCAGAATCCAGGATATTTTATTGAAATGCAGGATTACTCTGGCTGTCCTTTTACTTCATTTGTTCCTGGCTACAGCAGGCAAAGGTAAGACACATTTTTCCTGTTCATCTAGTGTTGATATTCCAAATAAACAGCACTAGCTTTGGTGAGTGGAACTGTTGGATGTATTCAGAATAGGCAAGTTTCTACCTTCTTGAAGTCAAGGGTAATAATTGCCATTAACAGAAAAAAGAGCCGGTGCTCAGTGCTTTTGGTATACGCACTCTATATTTTCACTATTTGTTTCTTGGAGCAAAGTTACTCAGTAATTACTTTTGGAGTAAGGATCAGGAAGGAGGGTAAGCACAATATGTAATAGCAAGGCAAATTATTTCCTGGCTAGTTCTTGAATTGAAAGTATTACTATTTTCAGAACATCTCTTTAACTCTTTCGCAGTGCTCTTGGGCAAACACAAGATGCAAAGAGAAGAATTGAGTAACATAACAGAAGTATTTTGCACTATTAGCTGATTACTCTCTGGAAAATGCTATCTTTGGAAACAGTGAAATATAATTAAAAATAAGGATTTTAGTGAGGATATTAGAATAATGCTGGAGATAGGTAACCTTTTAAAGTTTTATCTGGCCTGCATAGAACATCTGAGAAAACAAATGCTTCAAATTTCATTAGTAGGGGAATGCAGGAGAATGTGAGCTTCGTCCAGAGAGCTGTGCCTACCTGGTGCTACTTGCCTCACTGTCTTTCTGGTCTATATTTTGACATCACATCATCATGAGTTTTTGAACAATTCTTGCTTGCTATCACAAAGTGTTCTGGCTATTCCAGTGCAGAAACTATTATGGGAGATGGGGTAAAAAGCATTAAGAACCTTTTATCAGGGATTACTGCCTGAATATTAGAACCAGAATAACTTGAGGTGGGGGAGAGTTTTACCTGTTCAGCTTTGCTCTACCTGTGCGTGGGTCAATATGTAACACCTCCTTCACTGAACTTGGCTGTGTATGTAAATATGGCTGGGGAAGAGGTAGCAAGGTGCAAAGTATTAATAGAATACTTCAACAGAAGTAACAGAAATCATATATTTCAGTTTGAAAGTATGTGTTCTTTATATAGCAGTGAATGAAAAATGAATACATCTTTATAGTAAAAAAAAATTTATGTAATTTACATGGTGCTGCTGTTTATGTATGAGGTACAATGAAGTCAGCAACATGTATTTCATTCAGCAGAGTCAAGTGCAGGCAGAGTCAAATATTTAGAAACTGTGAAGTCTTCAACTTTTTGTGAAGAACGGTTGTGACATATTTTAGAAGGCATACATTTAGATTTAAGATGTTTGTAGTATTACTTTAATGGACTGTAGCAACTCAAATGTGACAATCGTGTATATAAATTAATGACTATTGCTATTACTAGTAAAGAGCCAGATGGTGAAGACTCATAGAAACATGAACATTTTTACTCAGGAAAATGTTCAGCTGTATTAATCTTCAACTATATGAATGTACTAGCTATACTAATATAAGAAAAATAATGCTGTTGCTTAGATACTGGAAGTATCTGCTTCTCTGTGTCTAATTCTTATTAGGTATAGATGTAAATCTACTCTGGGTAGAGATGCCAATTGCCACTACCAGAAATTCTTTGAAAAGAGAAAGTTATGTTTTGGTTTTGCATTACTTTGTCATTCTCAGCAAGCTCATTTTAAGTTAAGCATTATTTTTGAAACTATGTGCATAGACTCCAGCTCTCTTTAATGCTTGAGAGAACACCCTTGCTTGTGCTCTCAGTTATAGTGAGTGTAAAAAATAAATAAATAAATAAATAAAAAGTTCCCAGTTCTTGAATCTGCTAGATGACTGTATTAACAAGGAACAGTTTGCCATTCCGAAAGAGGTTAAGTGTCTGAATACAGCAAAAGCTATTGAAAATAGCTGTCAAATATTATTGCCTGGATTATATTTTAAATTTGAAGAGTGAAGGAAAGGAAATTCCAGGTGAATCTGTTATGGCAACAGTGTTGTTGTCTTTGCTTGTTGATAGGATTTGTAAATATTGTGATAATTATGAACTTAATATTGAGGGTGTTTTTTTATATGCTGTACTGTTTTTCTTGTTATCCTGGAAGTATTACGAGCAAACTTGCTGTTACACTGCCTTTTCCATGGCGTAATGATAAAGTTATGTTTATGGCCAGGTTTCTGAATGTGACTTGTAATACCCAGGCCCAAAGGAGCTAACTGTAAGCCCAGAAAGTCCTTGTAAGACCACAGCCAGTTTCAACTCTTTACTGACCATGGGCCACAACTCCTAAGTATCATTAATACTGATGATAAATGCTAAGTAACAGAACTTCCATGGGGTTTAAAGCAATGTTGCCTCCTGCTTATGTTATGTGCACCCACATGGCTGTGGACTAGGCCAAGGTGCTGTTGATGATTACCTTCTAAATAATTTAGCTCTGAACTGTGCTTCTTCCATACGGAATAGTGAAGTTCGTTTCCTAACAGTTGTTAGAATTTCTTTTGTGCTTTTTCAAAAGCAATCTTTTGCATAGTGCATAGTAAAATTTCCAAGCTTTCCCTGGAATGATTCAGGTCATACTCAGATCTGTCCTGTAGCTTTGCCACCCATTTTTGGTGCCTCACTTTTGGAACTGTTTTTTGGCCAAAGCGGCTCAGGCATTGGCCTTCTTATAAGCTTCAAGCAGTGAAGTCAGGTCTTGTTAAATTCAGTCCTCAAGCTCAGGAGCTAATACAGATTAACTGTGGTCTTTCTGAATTGCTCTTCAAAGTACAGCAAAAGGATCATCAACAGGCCTGATCTCTTGATGAAATAAAGCATGAAATAGGGATTTGTTTGGGATTTATTTGTCCTCAGGATCAGGTCTGATGATGATATCTAAAGTTTCAATGTTTCTGCTCAAATATGGACTTCTAATTTTTAAAAATCAGGGTCCAGGATAACTTAAAGTGACTTTATATTCTGCGGCTTTGTCATGACTCTGACTTAGGCAATCACTTTTGCTATCTTTGTATGCTCAGGATCACATACTGGAATTTGGGAGGATACAGGAATCATGCAAGTATGCTTCCTATATATGCTTTCTGAGACACAGCAGCTACATGCTATCTTCCAAAACCTCTAGGGTAGCTCCAACTTAGTAAGGAAAGATAATTATTTTTCTATGGAGAGCCTGTGTCACAAGTGTTGACATATCTAGTTCTATACATAGTTAGTTGTTTCCTTTATAAAACCAAGTTTCCTAATGATCTGTCTGAACTGGAAGGTGGCAGACTTACTCTAAAGGTAATAAGTCTACAGATGATGCATTTGCCTCTGCATCCAAAAGTCACCACTTCTTTGACATTTCCCATCTCAGTGTCTTCCTCACCTCAGGTTTAAGTCATACTTTAGAAGAAGTGTGCTTCTCCCTTGCCAGCCTGCCCAGAAGCATACTAAGTATAATCTTGGCATAACTGTCTGGTAATTAAGAGTTTTTGCCTACAGCTTCAGCCTGTCCGTGAGAGTTTCTCTGGTTCCGTTGACCTCTAGCCTCTTACGGTGCTTGCATAGGATCATAGAATGCTTAAGGTTGGAAGGAACCTCTAGAGGTCATCTAGTCCAACCTCCCTGCATATGCATGATGAACATTATGAAAGATACCTACAAGTTTATGTGGATTAGTGTCAGAAGGGGAGTCTAAAGGCTATAATACGAACCAGGAAGCGCTTGCCACTGGCTTTCTTTGAAACTGCATTAAAAAGTTTATGATTTGAAATTTTTCCCAATAACTTATCAATTGAGCAGAACTTAAAAGTCAGGCAAATTTCTTCATTCAGGATTGGCCTGAGGAAAGCTGGTGCTCTGGTTGGTTGAAAAAAGCTGGTTATGATCATGAGAGCCATTTAGGACTATTTATGAATGTGACACACCTGGGGGAAAAAATTAAACTGACTTCAAGTTGGCTGGGAAATGTATCTTGACAGGGGAGTGAATATATTGACTGATCCTTTAGTGCAATCCACCCCTGACTACTCATGATTAGTCACATACTGTGCCTTGCGGGTACATAAAAGCTCTGCGTGTTTTGATAAATTAATGTCATCTTAAAGCTGTCAGTAACATGGACTCTTACACTGCCTGAGCATCTACCAGCCTATTTCATTTCTCCTTTCAGTTCATGTCCCATGGGAGGCTTTTTTAGTTTTCTCTGTTGTTTTTGTTGCTGATAAATTTAACATAAAGCAAGCAATCAGTGATGTTTGTACAGTGATAATGTGCATTTTTCAAAAAATAAAACTCATCCTCATCTCCAAAGAGCTTGCATGCAAATCCAAAAAAGTGTTTATTGCCTTATAGTGGGCCAAAGGGGGTATTTATAAATACTTTATTTAAGATGGTCAGTATCTGGTGTTTGGGGCATTTCTTGGCACTACATATTTTACCAGCATTTATTTGGTCAGAGACCTTATTCTTATCAGTAAGTTTACTCTTAACACCACAAATTATATTTAATGGCACAGCTGAACTTCAGGTTGCCACCCTTTTAAGGCCTGAGTGGATTTGATATGGCAGAGACCAGATGTGTCTGCCACTATGAGCTGTGGTAGAGAAGAGGGAATGGGGCTGGATGGGACTAAAGTTAAAACAAGTGAGAGGCTCCAAACCACGCTTCCTTCAAGTTACAAAAGCTCTCATTCTGTTCCAGAATATAGTGATCTTCCACCTTTCTTGCTGAATTTACAGCAAAGAATTTAAGAATTACAGGATGGGAAAGAAAGAGCATGAGGAAGTATGACTGTAGAGCTCAGAGAAACAGCATGCATGTCTGGGAGGTGAGAAGGCAGTCATAGCTAGAGTTTATTTTTCTAACTCTATTTCTGCATTTTATCCAGTGACTATAAATGTGAAATATCTGTGCAGTGCTGGGAAGGGGAGCCAGAGCCTGCAGTTATGTCTTTGCAGAGGGCTACACAGTGATATTCTCCCTTGTGCATGGGTTTTAACTTCAAGGTCTTCATGAGCAGCTAAATTGATTAACTGCCTCCAAATTTGTCGCCCCTGCCCACCAAGGATGCGAGTGTATATATATATATATTTTAATGTGTTATATAAATACCTAAAAGAATTATCATAAGGAACCATGAAAAACTCATATAGAAAGTATATTTAAAACCTTTTTTTAAAATCACCTTTTCTTCATTTAGATCAGGAGGATTTCCTAGGACGATACAAAGCGGTCTTTAAGACTGAATGTGAAGATCCTTGGATTCTGTCACCAAGAATTTCTCTACTTCCTTTGAAGGAATTCGTTGTCTGTGTGTTCCTCAAGCTAAGCTCCACAAATAGGCCATGGACAGCATATGTATATAATCAAGAAACACTTAACAGTAATCTCTCAGCAAATAGGTATGATCTTGGACTTATGGGAGATCATGATAAATTAAGAATATGGTTGTTTGGAAATGAAATTAATATGACAGAGAGGCTTCGTGAAAATACCTGGTACGAAATATGTGTCCAGTGGAAAAGTGAAGATAAGGAGGTGAAGTTATTCGTAAATGGAATAAAAAAAGGAAACAAAAAACTAGCCGAAAAAAAGAGTCTCCCTGGAAAAGGGCAGTTCTTGCTTGGCTGTTCAAAGCTGCCAGGTACAACTACATCACCTGATATGGGAATGACTGGGGAGCTCTACATGTTCAGAATGTGGGATAAGGCAAATATAAAATATACCCAGACCTGCAAAGATGGCACTATTATAGGCTGGAGGAAGAAGGATTGGATCTATACGAAGACATTCGAAGATAACTCTTTGCCTTGTGGTAAGTACCATTAAGTCCCTGTTTTTAATAGTGTTTCTGTGAAAAGTTGATTGATGACAAATGTCTAACATTCCCATTTCAAGTGCTTTTCTTAAACTTTACAAAGCCTTTGTCTGCTGGTCATTTATAGTTAAAAGCACACTTGAAGAGCACAGAGATCACTGGAAGATCTGTAGCCCTTGCCAACATTTATTCATGTGTAAAGATTGTAACAGCATTTTTTTTTTTTTAAAGACTTCTGCTTGCTCCAGTTCTCCTGTCTGTATGCTGGCCATGTAATGGTAATCTCAGTGAGAACAGGATCCATCCTTGGCTTACTAGGAGAATAAAAACTTTCTACTAATGTCACCATAAAATAACTAATTTACACTTTCTATTCAGCGAATTCATATCTCTGTATGTGAGAATACTGGTTCTCATTTTGTATGTTTAGTGGGCCAGAATTTCAGCAAGTCTAAATTTTCATAGCTTCACTGGTATGTTGCACCATCCTTTGCTGGTATGGTCTGCATCTGTAAAGATTTATGGGAGGCTACAGTTTCTTCTAGGTTCTTTATCAGTAACTTCATCCTTATTAAAATGGCCAATTGGTTCCTCCCATGTTCCTCAAAATACCCATCTGCCATGAAAGAGGGAAAAAAATAAGTTTTAAAACAAAACTTAATATAGTTAGAGCTTAAAGGTAAGAGAATAATCTGTGATGTCATGTTTTGGACATAAATGAGATGTTTAAACTGTCTCCCATACAAACTGGATTTATCAGCTGTAGCTAATGGTATTGCCCCCTAAGGACTTCAGAGATTTTAAGGCGACTAGCTCACTTGCTATCATTTTGATGTAAGATAGGTCTTTCAGCTAGACTGTGGCCTCAGTCTTGGTCTTTGTCATCTTTTCCATAAAAACTGAGAACTGCATAGACTACAGCAATCATTTGCTGGCTGGGTCGATTATTCTAGTGTTTTAGAGCATTAAGATATGGAGGAGTGAGGGGGAACCCTTGTACAAATGAGGCCCCATGGAAAATGCCTCTCCTGTTGGGCCATGTTGGGTCTGACCTGATGCTGTGGTTGGAAGCACGACTTCTCCATTGGGTTATGTGGCTTGGGAGAGGAGCTGAAGCAGGGATACCTGTCTCTTCCTCTTGTGTGAATGTGCTGGAAGGAGCTCAGTCCTTGGGCTGAGAGGAAGAAAAATCTGGCTCCTGGACAGAAGTCTGGTACAAACAAAAGTCTCAGATCTGTGTGGGTAGTAGAACATATCGTGTAATTCAGAGCTGTCCTGGGCAACAGCTGTCCTGTCTGGTTATCTTTCATCCAGGCATAGAAAGGAGAAAAGCTACTTTAGTCCAAGCAATTTCTGCCCTAGATATAGAGCATCCCAGCATAGTTAGGTTAGCAAATACTCAACTCCAGCCCTGTCTGCTCAGTGATTTAGGGTATTTTGGAATTTTTTCCAACTGCAGGAGCTTTCCAGAGAGCGAGTAAAATGTGTGGTTTCCGAACTCTGTTGCTATCCAAGTTAGTCTTTAATGGTGCTGGCAGAGGCCTGTTTCAGTACAAAGGCCATCCCTACTGCCAAGTGCAAGTTACCTGCTTTAGAGATCTTGGGAGGAGAAAAAACATTTTCCAAGAAGAATTAGCCAAAATTTTTCTGACAGTATATTCTCAGGAATGGAGAATACTTTTCTTTCCCTCCTCGTACTTCCCCAGCATTTCTCCTCCAAAAGTCAAGCTGTGAATGACACACACTTAACAAATACCAATTCAACAATTAAAAATAAGGCGTTGACAAGAGGAGAATATAATGATGTCAGACAACCTTACCATAGAATCATAGAATCATAGAATGCTTAGGGTTGGAAGGGACCTCTAGAGATCATCTAGTCCAACCCCCCTGCACACGCAGGGACACCTAGAGCACGTGGCACAGGACTGCATCCAAGCGGGTTTTGAAGATCTCCAGAGAAGGAGACTCCACAACCTCTCTGGGCAGCCTGTTCCAGTGCTCTGTCACCCTCACTGTCAAGAAATTTTTCCTTAAGTTCCTATGGAATTTTTGGTGTTTCAGTTTCCGGCCATTACCTCTAGTTCTGTCAGTGGCCACCACTGAAAAGAGACCATCACCGTCCTCTGCACTCCCTCCCTTGAGGTACTTATAGACACTGATTAGATCCCCTCTCAGCCTTCTCTTCTCCAGGCTGAACAGGCCCAGCTCCCTCAGCCTCTCCTCATAGGGCAGATGTTCCAGGATCATGCTGTCAGTCGTGGCCCTGCGCTGGACTCTCTCCAGCAGCTCCACATCCCTCTTGTACTGTGGAGCCCAGAACTGGACACAATACTCCAGATGCGGCCGCACCAGGGCTGAGTAGAGGGGCAGGAGCACCTCCCTCGACCTGCTGGAGATGCTCTTCTTAATGCAGCCCAGGATCCCATTGGCCTTCTTGGCCACGAGGGCACACTGCTGCCTCATGGTCAACTTATCATCCACCATGACACCCAGGTCTTTCCCCGCAGAGCTGCTCTCCAGGTCAGTCCCCAGCCTGTACTGGTGTCTGGGGTTATTCCTCCCCAGGTGCAGAACCTTGCACTTGGCCTTGTTGAATTGCATGAGGTTTTTCACCGCCCAGTTGTCCAGTCTGTCCAGGTCCCTCTGGATGGCAGCACAGCCCTCTGGGGTATCGGCTACTCCTCCCAGTTTGGTATCACCAGCAAACTTGCTGAGGGAGCACTCTGTGCCTTCATCCAGGTCATTGATGAATAAATTGAACAGGACTGGACCAAGGACTGACCCCTGGGGGACCCCGCTAGCTACAGGCCTCCAACTAGACTCTGCACCGCTGATCACCACTCTCGGGGCCCTGCCATCCAGCCAGTTCCTAATCCACCTCACTGTCCACTCATCTATCCCACACTTCCGGAGCTTGCCCAGGAGGATGTTGTGAGGGACGGTGACAAAAGCCTTGGTGAACTCCTTCTCTGGAGATCTTCCAAACCTGCCTGGATGCCATCCTGTGCCACGTGCTCTAGGTGACCCTGCGTGTGCAGGGGGGTGTTGGGCTAGATGATCTCTAGAGGTCGCTTCCAACCTCAACCATTCTGTGATTCTGTGAAATTTCTGAGTCTCCTTTGTTACATCTTATGCAAGCTGAAAAAAGGTGTGTTTAAGTGATGTCACTGTTGTCTCTGCATAATCCAAGAAGAAAAGTGCACAGATTAATGTAAAGCTTTGGGTGATTTAAGGTAGTACAAAGATAGAAGAAAATCAGTGTGTGTTAAAATGCTAAACGTCTGAAAAGAGATTTTAGTTGCCTATGAGCAACAGCTCTTTAGTTGTCATTTTTCACATGGCACGTTTGCAGGTCACCTTTATTAATGCTTTGACAACCGTAAGAAATTTACTGTTTAAGCATTAATCATTTCAATTACATACTAAACAGTTATTGCTCCAGAATTTCTATCTAAATTGTTACATTGTGCGTTTACGCAAGGAGCACAGAGATGACATGTATATCTTTTACAAATTTCAATTTGTAAAAAACTGAAACAATATATGGTTTTCAGCCTAGCTCTACATAGTATTACTGATACTAAAATGCTGCTGTCTCACTTGTGTTATTGGTTTATTGCTGTCCTTGAATATATTACATTTTGCAGTGATGGAGAACTTCGAGCAGGAGTGCAGTGCATGTTGATTTCTTCGGTTGGGTTTTTTGTGCAAATGCAATTCACAGTTTACATCATAGCATCATAGCATTATAATTCTTCTAAACTGTCCTGTCTGACTTTCAAGGTAAAACTCTGCTGTCCTCTCTTTTCTGGGCATACTCTTCTATTCCTGTACTAGTGTACCTTGTACATTGTGGGAGGAGGTTTCTGGGCTTGTGGTACAAAGTGTTCAAATATTAGTGGGAAAACTGGGAGCTGACCAGTGTGACTGTTCTGCCCTTTCATGCTCAAGGAAGAAGAAAGCTTGATTTTGACCTGCAGCTCTAAATTAGAGATGTGAGGCTTAGGAAACATGGTTTGATCTTATGCAATCTCTTTTAAAGAGTACCTAAGCTCTGTGTACCCTTCTCATGACAGAATCAACTTCCCAGGCTGTACATCCTCCTGTTGCTTGTCCAGTTTGCATCTCAGTCTGTTGGGTGCCAAAACTTGGGGCCAGTTGCTGAACTTATTGCGAAAGTTGGTAGTAAAAAAAGAAATAATTTTCCCCAAATAGAAATTTGTTTCAAAATTCATAAGGGCAAAAACCTGCAGAAACCAGCAGAAACTTGTACAGGAAGTAAATAGGTAAAAAAAATGCACGACTCTGAAGTGCCTATTTTATGAGTCACATACTGCTCTGCTCTGTACCCATTAACATAATGTGTATTTGGCCTCCCCTTTCTTCGTCTGTGCTAATTGCTTACCTTTTCTGTGATATTGAATTAGCTTTTTGGAAACCAGCCTGCCAGTGAATGCGATCTGGTATTACCTCAGCCTGTAATGTAGATCTTCCTAGCCACCAGCAGAGCTTGAAAATGCTTGTATTTATAGACAAATTAAACAACAAAAGAAAACAAAAAAAAATGCAATGTCAAGGTTGGCTAAAAATATTAAACCATTTTTTTTCTGTCAATGATGTTAAGCTGAACTGGCCAAAGCACTAGAGCCCTACGTTGAACAAGCACATTTACTGTTTTCTTCCATTTGCTTCTGTCCACTAGCCAATTATAATCTGTCACTTTTTCCACTGCATGACCTTGAAGAATGAGACTTTTTATCTCGCGAGAAGCATTAACAGATAAAACTGAGATTGCTCTTAGTTTTATCCGGTAAACCTTTCAACTGTGCCTCAAGATATAACCTGCATCTAAGAGGAACAGCTGGGGAGGGTTTTTACGTGTTACTGTTGTTAATGCTGTGTGTGATAGGATGATTCATTTGGCAGAATGTTTATGCAGTACTAACAGCACACTGTCTCTTAATAGAAAATGTGGAATTAATTTGAAGATGAGA